ATAAGCCAGTAGGGGGCTGGAAGGAATCAGAATATGGAATATTGATTCATTTTAGAAGAGGAAACATCAAAAGTCCTACAAGATGAATTTTTATTTCCATTGTTTGGAAAGAGACCTCCCCAAACAAGAGATCTTTCCCTAAGAGACCTTTCAAGGTTCTGTGCTGGAATGTTTTTTAGCTTTGTTCACAAGAGATACCTGCAAAGACTCGGAGGAGTCCCACACAAGGGCACATACAAGGGCTGTGTTAACCAACAAAGTCACCTGAGGGAGGTATCTCAAGCTCTGCTGAGTTTCTCTAGGGCCATGACTCTCATTAGGGCTGTCTTTGTTCATTTTCTGTTGCTATAACTGAACATCACAGGCTGGGTAATTTAAAAAAGAACTTCATTTCTACAGTTCTGGAGGCTGGAAGTCCAAGGGTGAGAGCCTATATCAGGTGAGGGTCTTCTTGCTGGTGCGAACCCTGCAGAATCTCAAGGTGGCCCAGGGCATCACAATGGGGAGCTGAGCTAGCTCAGGCCCCTCTTCTTTTTCTTATAAAGCCACCAATGCAAGCATGAGGGCCCATCCTTGTGACCTCATCTAGTCCTAATTACCTCCTAAATACCCCACCTCCAAATGCAATTAAAGTTTGACTTTGGGAGTTAAGTTTCAATGTGAGTTTGGGAGGAAACACTCAGACCCTAGCAAGGACTTATGCTTTTACCAATGACCGTGGGAAGAAGAGGCTGTATTGGGGCTGATGCCATGGCCAGGGGCAAAGGTAGCTCCCTAGCCTACTGTCCCACCAGAAGCAGAATCTTGGTGTACTCCTGAGGCTTGTAGCAGGCAGTGGGGACACTGTGTTTCAATTCCCTAATCCCAGTGACAAACTTTCACTGTTTAAAGTGAAATATTGACTTTTTAAATGACTAAGGATTTTCTATGTGTCTTTAGGTTTTGATTAAAAAAGTAAACTTTTGTTGGCTTTATCAAAGTTTGGTGATGAAAAAAAGATGTGTGCCTTTAGCTTTTAAATAAAAAATTAAACTTTTACTTTATCAATGAATAAAGATGTGTACTTCTGGGCCGGGGATTCAGCTCAGCGGTTCCGCCACCTGCCTCTCAAGCACAAGGTCCCGAGTTCCATCCATGGTACCAAAAAAAAAAACCCAAACAAAAGATGTGTACTTCTGTGGAACAAAATGAGCTCTTTGGGTGTATGTGGACCAGAGACTTCGGGATGGGGCAGATGGGGGCCTCACAGTGTTATCAGAGCCTACTTCCTACTCTGGCTTCCTGAGCTTGCTTTCGCATGTATCCTCCTTACCTGCATAGAAAATTGCAAGAACTTCCTGTATTGTCGGGTGGATCTCACATGTATCTCTTCCCTTCTCCAATTCCTTTCTGCAGGTTACATTCCCCGAAACCTACCTTGCTTCCGGTTATTTTCCTCTTGCGATCCTCCATTGCTTGTAACTTGGGCATTCCAGACTCCAGGTCATCTGGCTCCCACCCATCTTCTCAACCTCAAAGTGGCCCCCACCCTGATGGTTCTTTGGGCTGCAGCCTATACTTTGGTTGCTCCATCTCTCATGTTCCTCTCCTTAAACCAATCCTTCCACCTGGAATGGCTCCCTGTGGCCTCTTCACAGCACCTTCACCAGGAATTCCCCAGGGCTCCGCAGTAGGAAGTGATCTGTGATCCCTTAAGTCCCCTCTGGAGTCCATTGGTGCCTCCCTTGTGGCACCTTTGTACCTTCTGCCTGGGTAGAATCCTCATACCCTGTTTCCCCACAAAACTGTGCAGTCCTCAAGGACAGGACTTTCCCCTTCATCTTTGTAATCCCAATTTCTGTGTACAGTAGACACTCGATAAGTGTATTATTAAGTAAAGAGACCACCAGCTGCTCAGTTTGTTGCCAAAGCGCTCCCCTATTATTCCTCACCTTGCAGGAAGGGGCCGTGGGGCTCCCTATACTGACTGCAATTGCTGTGATCCACTGGTGCCAGTCAGTGCTGTGGCTTTGGACTGAGATGTACTAATGAATGGCTGCCTTGGGAACTGCCCAAGGGACATGGTAGTGATTGCAGAGGAGCCTTGGGAGCTGCAGCTGAAGTCACCTGTCTCTGTCCTAGACTCCAGTGCCCTGCCTATGTGGAGGGAAAACTAATCCTTCCCTCCCTCCCCTCCAGACTCTGCATGCTAGTTCTGTTTACCTAAATTTTCAGGGGGTCAAGGGGTCTCTCGTAACTTAGTGTGCAGCCTCCAGCTGGGGGCAGGTGGTGGGAGTTCACATTTCAGCACCTGCCCCAGAAGGCCTGGCTGCCTTGGGGGGTTAGGATTGCTGGAAGCCCCACTTCCTCTCCAGACCCTGAATGCAGGGATCAGGCTTTTTAAGGAGGGACTGAGAGCTAGGGCCAGGTCAGCTTCCCTAAGGCCTTGGGATGGAGAGGCTCTTCATGACCCCAGGTCCCCCACTTCCTATATCCTCCTAGTTTAATCACAAGATTTCCTCTTCCTCCTCCTCTTCCTCCTCCTCTTTCTCCTCCTTCTCCTCCTCTTCTTCCTCTTCCTCCTCCTTCTCCTTCTCTTCCTCCTCGTCCTCTCCCTCCTTCTTCTGTTTGTTTTTGGCTCATGCCCATTTTCTGCACAGTAAGAACTCTCATTTATAGCACAAGCAACATAATTTATAGCACAAGCAACATAAGTTCCAGGGCTTAAACACACAGGATTTACTGTTCTCACATGCTAAGGAATCTGAAAGTCCATAGCTCTAGGATTACAGTACTGTAGCAACACAACAATATAAAAAGGCCCCAGATTCTTATTTTCTTTACTTTCAATTCTTCTTGGTGTGTGGCTTCTCATTCTTATGACTGTGGCCTAAGAGTCACAGAAAGACTGCCACAGCCACTATTATGTCTGTTTTCAAGGCAGAAAGAATGAAGAAAAGGGACGCATCAGCTGTATTTTCTCCTTTTATCAGAAAGCCAAAGCCTTTTACAAAAGTCCCCTGGCAAAGTTTTCCTTGTTTGTATTAATTTTCTACTGCTGCTATAATAAATTGCTATAAACAGTGGCTCAAAACAGCATAAATTACTATTTTCCAGTTCCAAAGCTCAAAGATTCAGAGGAACCTAGCTGTATCATTCACCCTCTCATTTGCAAGGACAAAATGCCCAACACCTGCAACTTAAAAGGTGAAGTTTATTTTCACTTACAGTTTCAGAGGGTTCAGTTCAGGAACAGTCAGCTGGCTGTAAGGCAGAACAGCAAGGTGGAAGGGCCTGGCAGAGGGAAGCTGCTCAACTTATGGTGGTCAAGAAGCAGAGAGAGAAAGGAGGATCCAGAGACAAGAATACATCCTTCCAGGTCATGCCTCCAGGGACTCAGCTCTTCTAACCAGCCCCTACTTCCTAACAGCACATTCAGCTGTGGACCTGTCAGCCCACTAATGAGTACAGCTAGTGCCCCCATGATCCAGTCACCTTGTGGAAGCCCCGCTTCTGAACACATGAGACTTTGAAGGGACATTTTATGTCTAAATGGTCCTACTAGCTTTGACAACCAGAGTTTTCATCCTCTTCCCTTCTCTTCCTTCCTAGCCCTTCAAAGAAAAAAACTGTCCTAACAAACTAGTTCTTGTCATGGGCAAAGAGGAACAAATTAAAAGATGGAAGACACAGGGAAGAATTTACGGAAAAGGTGTGTCAGTGTACATGATAAACATCCAGGAGAATGAAGAGAAAGGAAATAAATGGAATCAGAAAGGTCTGGAGGTCAGGGATTTTCCCCGTGTTTTGAAGAAAGCAGTGCAGTACCTGCAATTATTAGTCTTCATCGCTGGGTTAGAAAAATACAAGTAAAGATTGTGAGTGTTCTGAAATTGCTCCAGGTTACCCAGATGCCTGGGACTGTATTCTGGAACTCACCCAGATAGTAGATTCAACATAAATTATTACAAGTAGCTACCTTTCCCCGTCCCCTTCCCCCGGGCCCAGGCTTACCTGTTAGTGTCTGGAAAATAGTAAATGCTGGCTTCAGAGTCTCGTCTGGAAAATAAGTGTCTGGACAAGAGGATCTCTGAGCTCCTGTCCGGTTCTGATAACTCACAATTGATGGAGCACTATGTGAAGTCTAGTTCAAGCTACATCTTATAGCTTCGGATGCCTTGGATGTCCCTTCCCTGTGTTCTAAAAACTGGGCTTAGAACATAAAGAATAGGCCGGGGATTTAGCTTAGTGGTTCTGCCGCCTGCCTCACAAGCCCAAGGACCGGAGTTCGATCCGTGGTACCAAAATAATATAATCTTTGGAACTCTTGCCACTCATAAGATTACTTCTTCCACTTTCAATGTCCTCAAATGCAAATGACCTTGCTAATGCCCAGCTTTGGAGGGGTTGGTGTGACTATTAAAGATAACATAGGTAAAGTAAGTGGCATATAGTAAGCACTCAGTGAAGACTAGCTATTATTAGTCCCACTAAAAAAGAGTTTTTATTCCTAAAAAAAAGGAATGAAAGATGAAACTTGATAGTATGTGAAAAAACCCAAAAAACCCATCCACACTCACACATAAGCTATCTTTAGGATGAGGACAATAAAAAGATATTATAAGAAGCAACCATGTTGTAAGTTTTGGTTCCAGATCTCAGAAGGATCCAATTGTTTTTCTGTTCTACTCTTCCCACCCTCGAGGGGGCAACTTATCTCTGCACCTGGTAAGTGCTACACAGGGCAGGCAGAGTAGCACATCTGTTCACTGGAGAGAGGAATACTTGTTTGCATGTCCACTTTCAGAACTTTGAAAAAGATTCTCCTGCTCTGTGAGATAGAAGTCCTATAAACCTCACACAGGACTAAAAAACTTTTCTGTGTTGGCAAAGTTGTGTGACTCATTTCGTTCCAAGATGGCCCAGCCCTGAAATTTAAATTAATTGCAATTTTAAAATTCCATCTCTCAATCACAACTGCTGTATTTCAGATGTACAATACCACTCGGGTGGCTGTCACACTGGACAGAGGGAATTATAAAACATTTCCATCATCACAGAAAGTACTAACAGTGCTACCCCAGATGGATTCATTTAGCTTTCAATAAAAATAAACTTAAAAAAAAAAAATTCCAGCAGCTAAAGGACTAGTCCTGATAAAAGGGCCATCTGCCACTCTGGAAAGGACCATTTTCCAAGAACCCATCATGTGAGATGAGAGCCAGTCTGATGACCCACAGGTGGAAGATATTGTGAAAAGCCCATCCGTGTGGACTCCAGACAGCAGCAGAATGACTTTCAGTTCGAATTAAGAGCCAGCAGCTTCTTGGAGGAGAGCTTAAGCAGTCACCATTCCCAGCTGGACTACCAAGCGATCTCTCAGATCCAGGCTGCCGAAGGAAGTCAAGGACTCTGGTCCAAAGGCCCCTCGATACTTCGCACTACAGCAATTGAAGGTTGCTGGCTTTCCTCTCACCCTTCCTGAACTACAGAGAAACTGACACACACGTCCGTGCCACCTTTTCTGCCTGTGAGAACCTCGCGTGCTCTTCTCCGCTTTCTCAAATGCCACTTGCTCCTTCCCCATGAAGTCCTTCCTTGTGCTTTCTTTGAAAATCTCCACGAACACTTTGCATCTTCTGCGTGAACACAGGTATTGGTGCTCTCTTCTCCCTGTCATGCAGTGAACTTCTTAGGGTCAAGGCCCTGTGTCTTTCACCCAGCCCAACACAGGATACCGGATCTTGACCTGACAGATGTTAGTTAGCAGAACCTCTCCTTGTCAACTCTGTAGGGTCCACACAGCCATGTGCTTTGGCTGTGCTCTACACACCTGCCACAGAGAACCCGTCTGGTGCCCTCTGTGCTGGCCACTGGTGGCCTCCCTCAGCATCTGACAGGGCACTGGCCTGGGAAGGCCACAGGGAGCTGCAGGCCTAATTGGCCAAAGCTCCAAACATGCTCTGCCCCTTCCTTGCTAGTCGACACTGGGAACATTATTTCACCTCTCTGGTTCTCATTTTCTGCAAAATAAATGTATAAATCCTTTGGAGTGGCCGTGAGAAATAAAAATAATGTACTAAAATGTCTGGCAAATATCATCGCCCTCGTTATTCTTGGCAACAGTCTAGGAGGCAGGTCCTGACTGTATCTCCAGAAATGTCTTTCTAGTTGAAAGAACATGAACATTTTAGTAAATGTTGTTAAGCTTCTTTCCACATTTTGGAAGATCATCATAAAGAGGTTACCTGTTACATCACGAAATTGCCAATACTGTAGATGATGGTTTTAGATCATTGACATTTTTGTGGATCCCAAAATGCCTTTTTTTCTAAAATTCCATTTTAGTGAACAATTTTGGCTTATACTTTTTTGTTTTGTTATTCCCACGGACACACTCTCAGAATCCCTTTAATTTCCCAGTTTTGGAACCATACCCCACTTAAGCAGAAATGGTCAGCAGCCTGAAAATTTGCACTCAGATCAGCCCAACACCTTCTAAGAAGCTGGTTTTACTAAGAATAGCACTTCCAAGTAGCCACCATGTAAGCAGTGAGCACCCTCGGCCCAAGCACACTTACCCAGCTAAGGAGGCCTTGCATCCTGGGCCCTGCACACTTGGAAAGAGAGCTGGAGCAGATCAGGATAAACAGGGTCTTGGAGCTGCTTAGTTCAATTGAATACAGAGGCAGAAAAGGGGGTGGGTAAAGGCAGGAAGACAGGCCAGAGATACAGCCTAATGATATAGTCAGATACAGCAAACGTGTATGTAGATTATCAGTGGTAGTGATACCATGTATTCCTGGTCCGTGGTTCTGCAAACATCAAAGAATAAAGTTGCAAACCAAAGAAGGAGGTTACAAAAGTTTTATAGGAAATAAGGAAAAGGAGAATACCTCTTGGATTTCCAGGTAGGGTTCCAAATAAGGTGGCTGCATGGCATCTCAATTTAGAATTATTTATAGGCCAGTAGAGTACAGGAATTGCTTAATCATTTAGTGTTCATCATGGGTGGCTCTGTGGATTAAAAATGACCAACTAGGGCTGGGGATTTAGCTCAGTGGTTTTGTTCCCTGCTGCGCAAGTGCAAGGACCTGAGTTCGATTCCCGGTACCAAAAAAAAAAAAAAATGACCAATTGGGACTCAGGCTCCCTAGTCCAGTTCTTTCACACAGTGTTCACAGTGTACTGGGATCTTAGAAGGAACTGGTAGTAGGGAGTGGTGGTAACTCTCTTCAGGATCTTAGCAGGGAGCAGGCTGTATTTCACTCTGCCTGAGAAAATTAATTCTTTGTCCGAAGTCCCAGTTCACTCTCTGCTCTTAATTTTTATCAGTATGACTGGTCACCCCACTCTATCTCAGGCCCTTCCACTAGCTCGCTGCCTAACTCCCAAGCTAACTAAATAAACTGTCTTCTACAGTTGCATTTGTTTGCAAAAAGGAAAATTTGGAAGCAGCCTAAATAAATGACCAACAATAGAGAATGCTTTTGCAAGAATAGAAATATTAAGTCAATGAAGTTGACATTTGAGTAAACATTTGAGTTTACAAAAGATTCATGACATGAGAAAACCAATATAATATAATGCAATGTGAGAACAGGATGTGAGTTTGTTGTAGGGCTTAGTGGAGGGGTTGTGGTGAATGGAAATCCTTTACCTCTTAATGGAAGATAAATCAGCATTGCATGCCTTGAGCCTGAGGAGACTCAGAGCCACTAGGTCCTGGGACACCTTGGTTTGAAGTGGCACTCTTGGATACACAGTCTGCACAGGACAAGAAGCAGAGAGATATTAAATTCTGGGTTGAGTGATCTCATCAGTTCCCGGGGAAGACCAAGCCAGAGGGTCAGCCATGGACAGGGCCAGCTGCCTCATCACACCTGTGTGACTCTCGGGCCTTCCCTTGACATATCACATGGCTGCTCTTCGCTCTGGTCTCTGCAGTGACAGCTGAGCCAGCTTCAGTTGAAATACGTGTTCACCTTCATGAATGAGCCACTGTCTGCTGGCTCACATTAGGTAAAATTTGCTTTTTTTCTTCTTCTTCTTGAAAGTCAGGTCTACTCCCCTGCAGACCCAGACTGGCTCCATGCGCTGGGGGCAGATCAGTTCAAGCCCAACTGAACTTGCCCTTCCCTGCCCATACCTGACCTGACCTGAGGCTTGTCAGATGGAAAGAAAAACCAATAAGTGCATCTGTGGTCACTGAGGGGACAACTCTCAGGATGAAAGGGGGCCACAGTAAAGGTGGACAGAACCTGGGGCCCCTGAAGTTCTCACTGCACCCTCTTCTGGCACTTAGGGACCACCATCCTATCTGGAGGCTTTTAGTTAATGACGTAACTGTTTTATAAACAGTTTGCATCTTATACTTTCTACCTGATAGCAGTGGGGAAGCAAAAGAATGAAAGACCTGAAGTCATACAATAGATTCTAGTTCTTATCCAACACTGACTAGCCAGGACCTTAAGAAATCTCTTAAATAGCCTCGGTTTACTCCTCTGTAAAATGGAAGTGCTCTCCTGGCTTCTTGTCAGCCCAAATATTCTATTACTTTTCAAGTCCCAAACAGCAACTTAGCATATTTTCCTAATTTACTTACCAAAAAGAATCACTTTGTACACAGAGCATACAAAATCCCTTGCCTTCATTAAAAGCAAAAACAGGGCCGGGGATTTAGCTCAGTGGTTCCACCGCCTGCCTCACAAGCACAAGGACCCAAGTTTGATCCCCAGTACCAAAAACAAACAAACAAACAACAGAAACAGCCTACTGACCAAATTTTCAGCCCTGATATTCTACAAAGTTGTTGCTGAGCACTGAAGCATCTGAGGGTGCTGTGCTGCTGCCTCCTGCCTTCCTGCCTCCCTGTGTGAGAACTAACACATCCTGTCGGCACACACAACTGGCACACACAACGTCCTCACAGGAAGAGAAAGGAATGTTATCTATCGTTTAGATCTGGAATGTCCCACAGCCTCTTGCAGTCAGAGGTAGGGCTCTGGAAGGTCACTGTATTGTGGGTTGTTGCGGTACTCACTGGTGATTAATCCTCTAACGAATTCCTTCCTGACTTGCCGTTAGGAGGAGGGATCTGGTCGGAGGAGGCCGGTCACTGTGGTGTGACTGGAAGGGTGTAGATCTCCCTCCCAGCTCCTTCTCCCATTCTCTGTTTTTTGGCTGCCATGGGTTGAACACCTTTTCCTCTGCTATGCTGTCTCTGCCTTGGATCCAGCGGATCATGGACTAAAATTGTGAGCCAAAATAAACTTCTTTATGTTGTGGGAATCCAGCATTTTTGTCCCAGTGATGAGAAAGTGACTAAGACAGAGGACAAGAAGTCTTCACCATTCCCTCAGGGATGCATGCAAGGCTCTGACCTTTATTCCTGGCAGGAGTGAGCTTTGCTCAGCTCCAAAACGACATCCTCTTGTGAAGGGCGTCCTTCCAGAAGATTCATCAGCATTCTTTGCAGTCTCAGTGAGTGCTGTCTTGACCAGCTCAGCAGCAATAATTACACCCATTTCTAGTAGTGAAGAGGAAAGACCTAGGCAGGTGATTTCATTGCACTGTCTTCCTTCTTTTAAAAATGGCCTTCTTCTTTTTAGAGGGGTGAGTAGTCTTCTATTCCAGGGCTACATCCAACATCAGGAATAGAGGGAAACCATGGGACAGCCCAAGGCTCACAAATATCCCTCTGGGGACAGGGACAGAGATGCCTCCATGGTTTTCAAAGCCACTTCAGGGTTCCCTTTCAAAGCCAGGGTCTGTTTAGGGGCAGAGTTGCTACCTGGTTGCCCAAGCCCTGTGTAGTCTTCTAGAGTGGACTTTGATTTGTTCTCTCCATTCCACTTCTGGAGTTTTGCATCTGTGAGGATATCTATATGGATTTCCAGCCATCTGTCAGCCTAGGTCTATACACCCAAGGCTGCATTGTCATGTAGCAGGCTGAGGCATCCATAAACATGAGAGTGACCCACACCCGTATCTGCCTCATTGCCCTGCTAGCTGCCTTACACCTATTTGCTAAGAAGCCTATGACATCCCAGAGGGATGGTGCCAAAGTCAACAAAGACATTCTCTTTACTTTCAGCAAATGTCCAGTCTAGGTCTAAGGACCCCATAGAGCTACTAACTCTAATTTCTATTACAAAATTAATGCATGTTAGGATTAGAAAATACAGATCATGAAAAAGAAAGAAAAAGCAAAAATCTCTTATTATCTTATCACTCAGACATAGCTGCTGGAGCCCTGGAATATATTCTTCTAGGCTTTTGTGTTTCAGCAATAAACAAAAAGGACCGTTCCATACATACAACTTTACACCTTAGTAGTTTCCTTCAAGAAAAACTAATGATTACCTTTCTTAATATATGAATATTCACGTTAAATGTCATTTTCACGGCATCACAGTACTACAGTCACACACACACACACACACACACACACACACACACCCCAATTTATTTAACCGAATTTCTAGCACGGGATAGCTAGATCCTCCCATGTTTCCAGAAAGCATGGTGCTTCTTTAACCAACATCACCTAACCATGTACGTGAACTGTTTATTATTTCTTACTCAGAGGCCTGGATCTCCTTATGCATGATCCTTCTTGCTCCGCAGAGCTGGTGGAAGAACTTCCTACCATCAGCCTAACTTGAACAGGGACCTCTACTGGCCATGCCATTCCTAATCTCACTTTTATCAGAACCTCTGGGTCTTATGGGTGTTACTGAGTCAATTTACAATCCCCAGGCCCTCACCCGGTGAACCTGTGTGGTTTTGTATAAGAAGTAAGTCCCAAGAATACAGCCCTATGCAGGCAGACAGAGGCTTCTCTAGTCCAAGTCCACTTAGAGGCTTAAAATGAGGGCTGGAGGCTGGGGCCTTGCCTCATCCTCCTGGAGCAGGAGTCCTGCTCTAGAGCCCCAGTTCCATGACTGGATGCTAGGTGCACCATGTTGTTAAGGCTTTGGAGCACTACTGTGAAGTAGGCATAGTTTCTGCCTTTCTTTTACATTGAGGGAATGGAATGCTGAGGGAGTAGGTGATGCATTGAGGTCTAGCAGCTTGCAGATCTAGGATCTCTATCTACTCTGCCGTGCTGGAGACATAACCTGCACTGCCTGACCCTGTCTCCTCCAGGCTGCATGAACACAGAAATGACTGCTGACCTTCAGGCACAAACAACAGTGCCCATAGCTACCTTGTAGGAGTCAAAGCTGAACTGCTGTAACAGAGTCCTAACAAGGCAGTGGGTCCATGACATTGCATTGAATGGCTAAAACTGAAAAGAATTGACAGCCAAGTGTTGGCAAGGATGTACAACTAGCATTCTTATACATTGCTGGAGGGAATGTTTGGAGTATTAGAGTTTCTAATTAAGTTTAACACACATCTATGTTATGCTTATCCTGTGCTAAGTAGCAATATAGCAATTCACTCCTAAGAATGGATCCAAGAGAAATACGAATATATGCCTACACAAAGACTTATATGAGTGTTTGTAGCTACTTTATTCCTGATAGACAAAAAGTAGAAACAATTCAAATGTCTGTCAATAAAAGAACAGATAGTGTAGAATTCTACCAGGCAGTAAAAAAGAACAAACTCCTGATAATATTCAACAATATGAGCGAATCTCAAAATCATTACACTGAATGAAAAAAGTCAGATACAACAGAGTTCATAGTGAGCTCATATATATTTCCATTACAGGAGATTTAGGAATAGGCAAAACTAATTCATGTTGATAAAAATCAAAACAGTGTTTGCCTGGTGGTAGGGGCAGAGGTAGGGATGAGGGATGAGGCTGCCTAGACAGAGCAATGAGAAAATTTCCAGGGAAGATGGAAATATTATATATAGTGTGGGCTGATGGCTCATGTAATCTTTTTCACGAATTCACCAAACTGTACACTTAAGGTGTATATACTTTGCTATATATAAATGATACCTTAATAAAGTAATGTTAGCATTCAGAAATGCAAAGACTGAAACAAGTTTATTTCTCTTCCACACATCAGTCCAGGAGGGATAGTTGAGCTGTGCTCCAAAAAGTCATCAAAAATAGGTCATTGTCATCATTTGAATGTACATCTTAGTGACAGCCACTGATTGGAGGAAGATGTTCAAAGAGGCGCGCTGAGCAATGAAAGGATACCTACAATTTTTTTCTCACATTCATTTGGCTGGGTTTTGGTCACATGACAACCTTCTCTCTCTGTACTTGGAATTGTAACCCAGTCCATACTCTTGGAGGAGTGTGGAATGAGCTTTGGTGGAGAGCTGGTAGTCTTGGGCACATTTGGTTTCTTCTGCTGCTGGAAAACTCTTGCAGCTCTTGGAGCTAGCCTTCTTTTCTCCATTCTCAGAACCCCCATCAAGTTCTTTGTGCTGCAAAAGAGGCACCATGTGCTTCCAACCACAGCCAAGACCTTGCCAAGCACACTGGCAGAATCCCTGTGCTGTAACTTATAGAACAACATTCCACCTGAAGAGACAGTGGCTTTTGAAACCATGTGGGAAACACTTGTAGCTCATTAAGTATCACAAGTTCCCTGGGGAAGAGCACGGGTCCCTTCTCCATTGGTTGGTTATTCTGAAACAGGAGACAGAGGCTGGAGAGATGGACCCATCTCTGGGCCATATGAAGGCAAGCTCTGGGCTGGAGACAAGGGTATTTTCTCACTGTCGTCAAATAAGTTGGGCAGTGCCAACCCTGAGTTGAGCCAATTCCTTAATGGGGATAAACTTCCTTCTAATCAGGCAGCTGATTACTGGGAAGCCCCAAGGAAAACTAGAAGGGGTGTGAGCGTTACTCGGCATTTGCCACATATTAAACCCCTGGGGAATTTCAGATAGAGAAGCTAACCTTTACAAAGAGTGGTCTTCACAGAATGCACTACAGTGAGTGTGAGCCTAACGAAACTGTGGGTTCTGTGCAATAATGAGGGTCAGTGGAGGTTCCGGCATCCTAACACACACCGCTCTGGTGGGGACCCTGATAATGGGGAGGCTATATATGTGTGGGAGCATGGGGCTTATAGGAAATCCCTGTACCTTCTCAGATTTGCTGTGAGCCTAAAACTACTCTAAAAAACAAAGCCTGTTACTCTCAACTGCTGTTTCCCCTTAAGTCTAAAGGACCTGGAGAGCAGGAGTCAATTCAAGGCCCCATGCTCTTCCAAGGCATCTCTGTAATTAGCAGTGTGAACATGGAGCCAGCAGGACCAGCTGGGGAGCCAGAGAAGACTTGGCACTGGCTCAAGATATCCAATCCCCAAGTATTCCAGGAGGTGACGCTCCAAAGTTTACAAAGCTCAAAGTGCCCTGCCGAGGCTACTGAGGTGGGAGATCCCCTGCAGCTGAGCTGACTCTTCAGCACACACATGAATGTCCAGACAGCCTGGGAGGATAGGAGGAGAGTACTGGCACATTCACTGGTTTTCCCAGGCCTTATTTAACTCTAATCACTTTTGATCGAGTCATTGACTCGTTCTTTTATTCACTCAATACAATTTTATTGAATTCCCCTCAAGGGCAGATCTAACTTTCATGGGACCCTGATACTTATTTTGAGAACCCTGTAAGGAAAATTACAAATGCAAAACTAAGTTGAAAAGTAATATTTAGAATGAGAAATTACAACATAGTACCAATGTCTTGGACACTTGGGTTGCTTTATGCTGACTTTTTCTGGGGCACAACTGACCTTGGGTAGAAAGGCATGGTCCATGGCAACCCGTCCATGACTCCCTGATCTTATAGGAGCTGTGCTTATGAGGTTGAGCTCCACTGAATCCCCAAAAGTTCCACTTCTGTGCTTGCTGTCTACAGTAAGGAGCAAAAAGATAGCATTCTCTCTTGGTATCAAATGCCACCAAATGATCACACTATATTGGAAACTTAGTTCTAGGGAGGAAGGGAAAGTGGAAGGAGGGATTGGAAGTTTGGGTAGACAGTGGAGGGTCTCCAAATACACTCTTCAATTCTGATGTGGCTTTTGTTCATGGGTGATCCCCACCCTGCCCCTGGGCCCTGTACTGTGGGCTGTCTCTGCCAGGTAGGTGAGCTGGTTACCATGCTCAGTGCCCCAGAAGGCCCCTCCTTCTCTGACATCTGGGGAACTTGCCATATTTCTATGCCCATCTTAACCAAGGACAGGTTTAGCCTGGCTTTCCTTCCAGTCTCCACCCCCAGGACACCTCCTCATTGCCTCAGCTGCGTTCCAGTGGTCTGCTGCCACAGGGCATGTGGAAGGCGGCAGCTGGCACCACACTGGGAGCAACAATGGAACTGCATGGCTCTGTAAGCTCCAACCCAACAGATGCTGGCTGCTGGCCACTGCCCCAGTGTTCAGATTTGGAAAGACTATCTCTGGAGTAATGCCATGAGATGCACCTAGGGGACAGCATGTGGGGCTAGGTCTGGGGTGGAAAGGACAGGAGCCACCAAACAAGCTCATTCCAAGCACCCCTTGTGACCACTTACTCTAGTCATGGGCTTCATTCCTATGCCATTTGGAAAGGAAGAAGCACTGGCACCAACTCAGTGCCTGACACGTGGCAGGCTCTTGGCAATGCTTGTGGAAGGAGAGCATTGATGCATAAAAGAGCCAAACCCTGCTCTGTGCTTTCTGAAGAATGAAAGCAGCTGTGCGTGCTGAGGGCTGTGCTTTGCTGGATCCCTGTGCCACACAGCAACCCCAGCTCGGGCTTTGGGAGAAGGTGCCTGAGCTACTGGGGATAGCTCCATTTCCAACAGAAGAAGGCAAGAGATGTCACTGCCATCAGTGGGCTAGGCCAAAGGTGGGAGGCAGCAAAGCAGGCAGCCCCTTCCCTAACAACCCAGCAGCATGGCCTCCCTGCTCCTGCTGAGCTCAGCACTGCTAAATGGGGAGGGGGCAAACTATTCTGGAAGGAGGCACTTTGGTGGTGGCTTCCCACTGGCCACCAGGTCCTGGTCTTCTTGGCAAGACTTCACTTGGAAATAAATCTGTCTTCCCGATGCCTGACAAATCCACAGCCCTTGTATTGGAGTTTCTCCTGGATATGAAGGCAAGATCTCGCCACACTACAGACAGTTTGAGGACCAGAGTAGTGATGCCATGAGATGAGCCCTTCAGTCAGGATGAGGGGCAAGGGACCCAAGCTGAAGAATGTGCTGCTCAAGGATGTCAAAGCTACACTTGGTGCATCCTACTTTCCCTACTGGGCAGCCCATCTTGGATAGCCATCAGAGTCAGCACAGGGAGCAGAGACTCTCAGCCCTGCCCGCAGGCCTGCGATTTTTCCACTTCCTCTGACTGGCTCTGCTTCACATGTCTCAGGCCTCCTGTCTCACTTCATCATGGCTGAATTCTAGAAATTTCCAAAAGTCAGAACCCACCTCCTACCTGGACCCCATCAGTGGCTGCCCATGGCATACCTAGGTAGAAGAGAGGTTCCAGATGGCAGTGCCAACCTGCTCGCTCAGTCCAGGGATGCAGGGGCTTGGCAGCAGCTTTCAGAGAATGCTCCTGACTCAGCTCTGGTATGTGCTGTTATCCTACCTGGGGAGGACAGACAGGGCAGACAGGGCTAATTCCCATTTGATTTAGCTGCTCACTGCACATGGCCCATGCCTGGGAGCTCCTAGCATGTACATACACACACACACACACACACACACATTTTCTTTTATAAAAGGAGAATATGAAGCAATAAGAACACTAAGCACAACTCATATGGCTATGGTGCTGCACAGCTTACAAGGAGCAGGCCTTGAGAGGGCACAGTCTCCTCTCTTCCTGTGATCAGAACATGTGTGCTTGGTGTGAGATTAATAACTAGGAGGGAGCTGGTCACAGGGGCCCACACCTGTAATTCCAGCTACCTGAGCTGTTAAGGGAGGAGGATTCTGAGTTCGAGGCTAGCCCGGGCAGCTTAGCAAGATCCCATCTAAAAAAAAGTGATAATAATAATTAGGAGGAAAGAACCAGCCAAATGATGCTTGCTAGTGAAATTAGCAGAGTTAGGAGTTTACAGCCAGGCAGGGGAAATTATTTGACCTCTCCAAGCTTCATTTTTCTTCTCTGGAAGACAGGGATAAAATACAACTTACCCAAGCATGCCTCATGCCCAGAACTTGGTTTCTGGTACTCTTCTCCAATCCAAGGAACCAGGGGTCCCAGGAGGAATGTGCTGATTGTAGGGCCAAAGCAGGAAATACATGATGAGCTTGGAGCATGCTGAAGTACTTAACAACAAAACAGAAAAGAGAGATGGAATGAGAGAGAATGGAATGAATTCTTATTAGCCAAAGTAGGAACAACCTGAGTACTAAAAGATTATAACCCAAAGTACAAAATAATGGTAAGCCCATATTGATTTAATAAGTGATTACTTGAATAGGTATGTGAATGAAAAGAGACAACTCTTTCATGCATACAAATTCCACATTATTTATATAGGTTCTCTGCCCTCAAGGATAGGAAGCATAACTCCTCACTTAAGTATGGGCCACACTTAGTGACTTCTTTCCAAAGAGAACAGTAGGAAAAGGTGAGGAAAGAGAATAAATTTACAGTGGAGAAACCTGTCCAGACAATCTTGTCCAGACAACCAAGGTCAGCATTGAAAAGTCTCTGTATTATCTTGGAACTTTTCTGTAGATCTAATTCTGGTGTAAAATGTAAACATTTATTTTTAAAAGGTTATCTACCTCACAAGACTGTGAAGATTGAAATGCACCGAAAGTACTTAGCACAGTGCCTCGCAGTAAACTGCACCTTGGTTATTATTAGTTGCCAGAGAGTAAAGAAACCAGAGTAAGAAATGCACTGGAGAGTTTATGCGTGCTGAATGATGACTCTAATTACCAGTTCTGGCTACAGCACCTCACCAACACCACATCAAAGCTGCCCGCCCTGTGGAGACAGCCACCACCTCAAGGTTGCCTAATTTGTAACTAAAACTCCTGCAGTTCAGTGAGTGAGTGGAAGAGGCAGGGCCGTTGGTGCACTAATCTGCACTAATCGCAGCCAAGATCAGCACAGAAGAGCTGGCTGATTTCCACAGAGCCAATCAGAGTGAAAGTATGAACAGCTGCACCCTAGGGACTGGCGAT